CCCCAAAACCCCAAAACCCCAAAACCCCACACCTCTGAATAAATATTGAAAATAAAGTTTAAGTTAACATTATATAATAATAAAATGGAAAGCATCACCGAAGTTATTAAAGAAAAGAACACAGAGATAATCAGGTATTCAAAGCTGAATTTTAGAGTACTCTAAATCTTTATCCTCTAATTTGCCACAAGTTCCAAATAATTTAATGTTGAAACTAAAATCATCAATGTTTAAAATAATTACATTGAGAATACTTTAACAAGAAGCTATCGCTTAAAATGAAGAGAATAAGGCATCCTTGTCTCTCTAAAACTTAATTATCATTCCATAAATTGTGTTTTTTCCTCAATACTTGAAACTCCAGACTTCTCAACATCAAAATTAACACTTTTTCACAAACTAACCTGTAACTTTCTGATAGATTCTGACATCTATCCCCTGTTCATCTCTAATTATCCAGTCTAGAGAAGTCTATCCTGACCGAAACCAAGAACCAGGACATCTCCAGATGCCAGAGCATTCTTCTTAAGAGCTATCCAAGACGAATAGAACTTAAACCATTGGATTCAGACTCTTAAGAACTTCTCGAGAACAGTGGTCTTTCAATCTATTTCTGCCAACCTAGAGATGTGCAACTTGCCAAAAGTTTCAAACACCTCAAGTTCTTTGCTATAAACTGGATTTCTTTTGTTAATGCTGATTCCAAAAATAAGAGTTTTGAGGACTTCTTAGAATCCTCATTCCCGGATAAAACTAATAAGTTCTATTTTTCCTCCAGGAATAGAACTCATCTGAATAGGTCCAATTACTTAAACTCCCTGGTCAGGATCAGTTCTAAAGTCTGCCAAGAAGTTACATTTCAGTCTTTCTGCATTAGCCACCCCCAACAGAAGAGACTGGTGGTAGCTTACAAGCATGTCAGAGTGTTGAGCTTGCAATATTGCAAGCTATCAATTCCAAGTGTTGCCAACTTTTCAAAGGCTCTGACAAATTGCCAAATCCAGAAACTAGATTTAGAAGGATCAGGAAGAGAAAGCTTAAGTAACTGGGGTAACAACTTTGACCAATTCAAGAACTTGGTACAAGGATTAGCTAGTTCTCCAGATTTATGATTGAGTCTCAAAGAGGTAGGAATCTATGAGTGCGGAGTATACCAGCATGAAGCTCAACAAATCTTTGAAGAAAACCAACTTGGAGAAGTCAATCTTATTGGTGACTGAAATACATTTTGGTAATTTTGTATTCTCGCTTTATTGACTATATGATCTCATTTCTCCATATCTGCATTTGGTGGGGTTTAATTTATTTTAGGGCTTCAATTAAACATGTTTTCTCGGGGTTTTGGGGTTTTGGGGTTTTGGGG